GAAAGAGTGAGAGCACTGACAGGAAAAGAATGGGTTTGCCATGGACTGCAGAGGAAGAGATGTGTCTGGGCAGGATATGCCCAGCCCTGGCTACTCAAGGAGGGTGGACAGAGGCATATCAAACCCTCTCCCCTAAGCTCCCCTTACAGTCAGCAAAGCCAAATGGGCCTTGTCTGGAAGGCAATCTAGAGCACATAAAGGAAGTTCCTGCTTTAAATCTCTCTGTGGCATCTCAAGTAGAGTACAGAAAGCTCCTGTACTCCTTCCTGGTGGTTTTAGTCTTAGCTCTAGCATACATGATGGGTGGCATTATAAATACCTACGTTTCAGTTAACAGAGACAATATGGACTGAAATTCATTTGATGTGCTCAGACATATTTGATATATTTGACTAAATATCAACATACTGTATATCATAACTTTTCTTACCATCTTCAGTCATCATTTATGCTAAAACCGACAACTATCTACCTCTGCATCTTGTTATTTTACTAGGCAAGGGAAAGCATGTAGGAAAAGGCTGCCACATCTAAAAATATTCCTGTCAATGTAATTAGAAGAAAATTATGTGCTTTTAAAATTTGGGAATGATAAGGACACATGTTAGCACTAAGAAAGAAAAAAACCCCCCACCATTTGCTCATACCAGAGAAGCAATGTCACAGGCAAACCATTTAAGAAACACTGTCCAAGACCTTGCCTTCTGATAGAGCTGGACAACTGCACGGGATCTAAAAATGCTCTTCAAACACAAGTGTAATCTACAAACACCAGCACGCCTCCTCTGGGAGGCACCTCAGGCATTCAGCTGGCATCTGCAAGTCACATTTAGCCTGCCCTCTCATCATGTGAGGGACCAGAGCACTCCCCTTACAACTCCTGCGTCTCATTCATTCCTCCCTCCTGTTGGAGCAGACAGCAGGGTTTCTCTAACTATTGTTATACTTTCCAACACATTCCCAAGGTGCCTGTAACCTTGGCATTAGCTAGTGAACTCTGCATTTAATTCAGTTGCAAAATCCAAGGCTTTGCAACTCCCTTCTTCATTCCATACCTCATCAAAGAGGGATTTCTTACCTGGATTCTCTCACTCCATCCTTCTATGAAATGTGGTATTTGTAATCAATGCCAAAGAAAAGCTTTTTCTAGCATCTCAGTTGGCTGGAGACATAAAGACATATTTTGTCTAAGTACTATGAACCACTTCCTGATCTCATTTACACCAGCATGTATCCAAGTCAGTTAGAGAAGTTACACTATGTAAAACCAGTCTCAGAAAGGTCACATTCTGGCTTTGAGTATTCAAACGACTTGTTTGAAGGAACTGCCTTATTAAAATAGCTAATGACTGTCTCCTGCTTCAAACCCAAGACAAATCTTGGTTAGAAGGGAGTGAATGAGAATTTGAAATGGTAAACTAAATACTCAACACCTGAATTCCCAGGAGCCTTCTTATTCATAAATCTAGTGGCCTTGTAATAAAGAGATCTACCTTTAAAAATAAATAATCAACATTGAGGCTCAAGTCTGTTGGTAGCTTTACAGTCTTTCCAGGTCAGCTGCAGTTACAGAATTTCCAAATATACTTTTGTTTTTGGAGAAACTTATTAGCAGTAGTTTTATCTTTATGGCTAAAAAATATCTGAATTTCATGCTCATGAAAGGTGCCAGCTCAGGTTTTTTTTTGCTGTTTTGGGGTTCAGGGTGGGTTTTTTTAAAACAGAAAAAGTATCTGTAGAGCAAGGAGAGCAACGGCATGGGCATCCCAATGTTGGTGTTCTTCCAGGGTGATCTGAAGTTAACTTTGTACAACAGCACCCAGGGAGGGAAAGCATATGTCGCTGTCAGGCTCCAGTTCTGGACTGGGGTGTAGGTGTAGGAACAAATAGAAGGCAACATTATGACAGAGGCAGATAGCAGAATCAATGTAATGAAATGATTTGTATTTGCACCAGGTAATTCCAAGCCTATGGAACTCCTGGAAGCCACCGTGAGACAAAGACTAGATTTTAATCTCTATATGCTTGGGATAGATGTGTCTATGTATAATTTCAGATATCCCTTTGAGTATTTCTATTGATATAGGCTAGTAAGAAACTGAATTCTTCCGCCCACCTGCAGATATCTACCCCTCAGCTATGCCACATGGTCCAATCCTGTCTTTACCTGAGTTTTAGAAGTGAAAAGTATGAGCCTTATCCGAAATCTTTACCCAGGAATAGGGTCAAAGGAAATCACTGGCACTGAAAGAAGAACTAGGATATCTTACACCAGCCTATCTAAGAACTGTTCAAGCTGGAAGATTAGCATCAGGATAGAATTAGTATCTGTGTGCAGTGAAAATCTTTCAGATACTGGAACTGGCTAGTTGAGTTCAATGTTGGGCCACAGCTGACTCCCACCTCCGTGTTTCCCAGCTTTGCAGGCAGGGAGTGCAGCTGTGGATCTGGACTAATGCTACTTCCTCCAACAAGGGTGCGTACATGTAATATTCCCTGGCTCCGGGAATGGGTACTTTGCATCTGGTTATACAAGGATCACTAATGTGTTCATAGATGAGGAACAATTCAAACTTTATACAGAGGTGACCTAAACCAATATTCGCTAGGTCACAGCAAGCAGCTTGCACTTACTTTACAACAACATACTATAAAGCACAGTGTAAAAGCATCCTAATTAACAGCTTATCTTGGGACATGATGACTGTTGCAAACAGTCCATTGACTGAAAGAACAGGGGTCCTCAGGTCTGTTTCTTTTGCAGACCTACCAGGTAAGCCCCATGACTCAAGAAGCAGATAGCAAACAATACTGTATATTGGTGAAATCTGAACACCTCCCACTCTTATAGGTGTACCTGAGCTTCTTCCCTGATTCCTTCATATTCCACCCTCATTTTCTTCTGAACATCCTCATCAACGCTGGGGTCACCTATCCTGCTGAACAGGGAAGCAGCTTCCTCTAGCAGCCTTTCCAGCAGGACTGACTGATTTAAGACATCATTCAGCAGAACCTGAGCATGACTCAGCTGCCACTGCTTCTCCTTTAAGCCAAGCTGCAACTCAATGTCAGGCTCCAAGGTCACCCTCATGTTGTGAAGCCATGCGTAAAACTCATCTTGGGCTTTCAGGTACTCACTCCAGTGCAGCCAGACCCACTCAATACGGCTGTTGGGGAGAACAAGAGAGATGAGTTAGATGAAATAATGATGGGAGCAGTGGAGACTGGCAAGCCCAAAAGGCCTTTAAAGCAAAGGACAAGGTTCTCAGCAATTTTAAGCTGCTCTGACTTCAGAGGGTCTGGATTCACTTCCCAGGTCCTCCCTGTTCTGGGCAGGAAATATTCTGTACAAGGTCCCTGTGCCTGGTCAAACGCATCATTCCAGACCATGAGGTGGGCTGGGCTGTGAAGGCAGAGAGCACTGAGGTCCCACCGACCCCCTCTCCCCACAGAGTCCCCAACATGCTCATGAGACTGGGTTAGCAATGATTACTATCAACAATCCAGGCAGCAGAGAGAGGCAGGAAGCACTTTATGAAAGCACTGGATGAGACAACTGCCTCAACACACCAAATAGCAGTCTTGTGCAAAGAGTACGTTTGTCTTACCTGTGACAGTGAGTAATGTATATGGCTGTCTCTTCCCACAAGGCTTTAATGTCTTTCAGTTTAGATAGTACTTCATGCTTCTTATCCTCACTGATGCTGCGAAGAGCAGCATCTGCCTTCACAAGAATCAAGTCCATTTTCAAGCTGCCTTCTGGTTCCAGCGCACGTATTTTCTATGAGAAAAACAAATGAGACTCAAAGCATGAAAAGAAAGCAAGTATAATTGATGAAATTTAAACTTTGTTTTTACCCAGGAATCATGAAGTCCCTGCTGCAAAGCTGCTCCTGAAACAAAAATATGAACTCTTCTTCAGACTTGTTTGTTCTTAAACATCCTAAAGGACTGAATTTAATTGAAAACTACTTGGCAGTTGAAAAACATTTAAGTTAGCTATAAAACCCGCATCATCTTCTATCAAATATCTGTGGCTGTGTTTCCATTGCTGTTATAAAGTTATAGCACTATGTTGTCACATGCCAGTTGTTCTCCCCCACCTGCCAAAGAGCATAGAGGCAGTCTCCACAGGGTACACTGTCTCAATTTTAAGTTCTACTATAAGAAATCATGAAGCACATTAAAAAGACTTCCTACTGCAAATAAAAGTTGGCTCAGAAAACAAGCCAAGAGAAATTAACTAGTGGAATTTTCTGCCTGCTACCAAATTTTGCTTTGACCCTAAAATTCTAAGTTATGAATTGGTGAAAAAGTGTATCTTACACAAATCAGAATGCCAGGAACTGAAAGTTAAGCCAGCTAATTTTGTGCAAACTCTCTTCCTCTACCCAGAGACGGAAAATCAGCACAAGTTCTGTATAATGTAACAGATTAATTATGTCCCAATTTGGATATCTGCTTTCAGCATCACTTTATCCAAACTCCTGATACCATCAGATTAGCTTTTCTTGCTGTTCTTCCACAAAATCCTGGCAAACTGCAGGCTTTCAAGTCTGAAGGAAAAGGCTTCTATAATGAAAACACTGAGAGGTTCAAAATCAGCAACTACTTTTGGGAAGATTAGTCCTATGGGATTTGTTCAAAGAAATCATGTCAGTTATTGCAAAGGTGAGACCAAATCACAGGCCTTTGGATTGCCAGTCTCACATTCTGGGAAAAGAATTTTTTTGGCATGTACCCAGCACATCTGCATGTGATGTACAAACAGGTGTTTGGACAAACTATCTACTATGAAAAGTGTGATTAAAAGAATCCAGAAAAGCAGGGCAAAGGGTAGGGCAGAGAAAGAAAATAAAAGCCATAGCTGTCACCCAACAGGAAAAATTTAAGAGTAAAGCTGTATTCTGACCCTGATGTTTTTCCAGCAAGTGAAAAGAAACAACAGCCAGAGAGAAAGCAGTGGCTGTACAGCCATTTTCTTTTTTTTTCAAATCTGTTTTTTAAATGATTGCTATCTTTGGCTGGCATTTTCATTAACAAATTAACAGAAAATAAACCACAGGAAGGAAGCATGAAAAAAAGGCAAGCCAGATGCGGAAAAGGAACTGAAAAATGACCACTGGATTTGAAAACAGCCATAGGTAAAGCAGTGAGCACATCATAAGGACACGTGAGCTGGACACGGAAGCCAGGCCCAGAAAGAAGGCAGGATGAGGGAGCAAGAGGTGGATAAGGTACACACAAGAAGAAAGAACAGATACTTATTATTCTTTAGAATGACAAATTTCCAAAGTCTGAATTGAAAAAATCTTCTAACATGATTTTTTGCATGTTATAGACCTCTTCCAAAGCCCACAGAAGTATACAGGTTACAGTTCAGGCCATATTAAATCACCACAAACCTCTAAACCTTACATCTTGTTATCTCTGCTATGAATGCACCCCTTTTGCCAAACTACCACTCTTCCTACTCAAGTTCCTGTGTTTCTTGCATGTTTTTTGAGACTGTACATATCATAGTTTCCCAGAAAGAAGGAAAGGGTGAAAATAATTTAAGGGAAGAAATAAAGCTATAGACCAAGTGGAAATACTTCAGATTTTCATGACTGACATGCAAGTCTAGCCATCATCCATCACTCTATGAACAGTCTCTAAATTATGCCAGAGGCAAGATCCAGCCTCCGATGAACAACAGTTAAGGAAAAATGCTGAAGACAGTGCAGTACCATCATGTAAACTACCTTGTCCTCCATGTAAGCCTGCAAAGTTTTTCTGGAGCTGTTAAGCTTCAGAAGAGGCAGCCCAAACATAAGCCCAAACACACAAAAAGAAAGACTTTTGGGTAAATAATGATGGGAAAGATTTGGTAATTTGATGTAAAAAACAGATTAGTTGGAATTAAAGGTAATACAAATAAATAAGTTTCAATGTTAAATCATAGCAATACCACCACTCCCTTCAATCATGAATGGTAAAGGTGGGACAAACAGGAGTGTTTCATTCTCTGAGATTACAAGAACAAGATAGCATCTAATGAAACTGAAGTTAATGAATGTGAAATCACAGTAAGAGTACAGGCACAATCTGTGATGGGATCTGTGTGAGAAGAGTTATACAAGAGATTAACTAAGACCAGAAAAAAAGGAAAACATTTACCTTTTCATTAGACAGATTATAAAGGGGAGCAGTAAACCCTCTTATCATCAAGGTTTATGGAAAAGGACAAGGAGATTACTCTAGAACAGCCCATTACTTGGACACTGCAATCTTCCTCTGTCAGTGCCAGAGTCCTGGAGGAGATGGAACACTAATGTGGTCTGATTCTCTCATACTATATGCTAGACTTCTGCAAATCACTATCTGGTAATTGCAAGCAGCGACTCAATTCTTTCATGTTTGAGCATGCTTGTAGGAAAGTGTAAACATTTTAACCTGCCATACCTGCTGCTAGTCTTCCAAATCAATCAGAAAATCTTGGAAGCCTGTGATATCACATTGCCATCCTCTTTTTCTACAACATCTGTAAACATTTTGCAGATGGAAAAATTATAAATAATACTAATGTAAACCCATCCACACAGGACCAATATTCCAGCAAGCAGGGGCAGCTGACAGTTTCCTAACGGAAAACTCCAGAGTTCATAGTAATAACTGCTGTAACGATGGCAGCAGTGACAGCCACCTCTGAACTGCTACATCACTCTTCTCTTACCTCAGTCTCTCTCAGTCTGGCTTCTAGGGCAGATCGAGGTCCCTTAGTGTTGTCATTGATCCTCAGTCTCTCTTGGATGGCCTTCATCCAAGCTTCTGCGTTCTCCACGCTGCTGTCAAATTCATTCTGTAACTGCTGAGTCATTGCATTTGAAGAAGCTGAAAGTATAAGAAATAGGGAAGTAAGTAGGTTTTTGTTAAGACCTAAACAGGATTGCATTCAAGGCAATCTAAAGGAGCAAGGGAGAAAAGCTGATGATGTTGTGGCTTTCCTTTTTAACGGTAGTAGCAAAAAATGTAGCAGTATCACGATTCAGTTGAGCACAGAGAACACATTCACTCTGCAGCTTTCCCAAATGAAAATATACCAGGAAACAAAAAGAAGGTAGGGAACTGTGGGAGGCTCCATTACAGTAAACAGATTTAATTCAAAGCTTTCAAATGAGATTAATCTGGTGTTTGTGGTGTATTCCAGATTGGCTACACCAATCACAAAAACTTTCTGTTTCTTCCCAGAGCCGAGTCAGTACAAAACTCTTCCTATGTCCTTCCAGGCTCATGTACTGAGCACCTTACACCAGACTAGCAAAGCACTTCAGCACATGCTTAACTTAGAGGTATGTAAACCCTTTAAAGCTGGTGACATCAGGATCAGATGTGTAGGCCTTCAGTTAACTTGTTCTGCTGAGACCATGGAGAGGTTATCCGAATGCACATGCAGTGAGTCTGGGGTACACACACAATGAGAATCAGCCAGCAACTGCCAAGATAAACCACTTACAAGCCATCACATGGGAATATCAACACTGATGGATTTCTTCTTTTGCCACCTCTTTTATTCCATACCAGGCTCCAAGCTTTCAATTTTCCCCTCCCTCTCTTTTGTTGCCCCTTCCCAGTCAGCAGGAGGGTATGATGGTTGGTTGCTCTGTTGATGTGTTCTTCTGTCTTCTCTGTTTAAAGCATAAGCTCTCTGCTGCCCCGATGCCCTCTTTTGTGCCTGTACAATCGAGGAGAGCCTTCCTACGCTCGTCCTTAGGCACTGCTGTACTAAACCTGACTAATAGGGATGAATCATAACAAAGCCTGTTGTAGGTCAGCTCCGCTGAAGTGAACAGAAAGATAGCCATTGACATTAAATGGTTTTAGATCACGTCCTACAACTACTGCCAGCCAAGCAGTCAGTGTCTCTTGCAAATTAAAATATTCTTCCTCTTTGTTATTCATCACTGAAATATTTTTGCAGCACAAAGTTTGAAGCTTAATTACTGAACCCAAGTTTGTTGCACAGAATACAGTTCCACAGCAGCCCCCTCAGTTTCGATGAAACAATTCATGTGGAAGAAAGTGGTTGGTGCAAGAGGCAGAGCATGGCTCTTGGCAAAGCCGGACCTGTGGTGTTTTGTAAACACTTTAACTCTTGGCAGCTTAGTCTTTACACAGGAGAGCCATCCTTCTTCTGCCCACTGGCAGAAAGCTTCCCACCATCCTACTGAGATGTAATATTAGAAATCCTCCCCTGTAGCTCCCAGTGCATTTTCTTCCACATTAGACCAGAGGAAACAAGACGTTAGTGTTCACAACGCTGATGTCTGACAACAGAAGCAGTCTAAATTGTTGCTTCCCAGGCTTCAGCAGGCTTTATGCTCAACAAGTCCCAGAACAGAGCAAGAGAACTGCACCTGCAGAGCAGCTACGGCACTACCCACAGGGATTAGTGGAGCAAAGAATGGGTCAGACCTCCATGCACAGACAAGCGGCGCTGCATTTGCATGGAAGAGGGAATTCCTCCTTACGTGAGAGATGTCAGATGGGGCAGAATCCAAAGCCATAACTCTCAGGGCTGGAGGGAAGTTTTAAGTGTGACCTTACCTTGAAAAAATTAAAGAATAGAACAGGATGTACTGGATTTAGTGAGGGTGGTGTGGCATGGGGCAGCTACTCTCTCTCTCTCAAATATTAAAAAAAATGACAGGATTTATAATTAAACCTAAAATCGTTGACTTGCATCACAAAAGTCCTAAGGATAAAGCCAGCTAAAGCAGTAATGTTATTCTCAGTGGATTGCTAGATAGCTTTTCCAACTATGACTGGTCCAGAACTGATGTTTCTGAAGTACAATAATCCAACCCTCAGAAAAGCGCACACACCTCTTTGTAGCTGATTGATCAACTAATTTTCACATTAACATTTCTGTAGAGGGATTGTCCCCTAACAATTTCCTTGTTGCATACATACATACATACATACATACACTTCTAGGCAAATAGTTTCTGAATGCTTGAGTGTAAGTTGTGGCGATGCCAGTTATGATATTGTGAAACAAAAACTCATGGTGCATTTGCTGGATAGACTCAGATGAGGAGTGGCATTCATTTCCGAGGACAGGTTTCTATTCCTGGCAACATCCATATCATATTTGAAATTGGCTTCAGGGCTCCAGTCATGGAGTAGCCAATACAGAACATTAAGTTATCCTAGTCCTATTTCTTACAAAAAGTAGAGGGCAATCGAACAAGGTTAAGAAGCAGTGGAAAACCTACTGTCGTCTAATACGAAGAAAACTCCACTCACACTCTGCCCTCATGCTGCTCTCCTCTGAGCACAATTTTCTGTCCAAAAACCATAGATACACAGATCCCATCCCACACACAGGTGTTCCACATAAGCAGCCAATGCAGGAAGCCATGAAAAATGTTATTTCTATCTTAAGTTCATCAGTTTGCAAAGGAAAAGAAACACTTTGCTACTCCAGCTACCTGCACAACATCATTGACTGATTTTGACCAAGTAACTCATACACCTAGCACTACAAAGATGATTAAATTTTGCATGGACTCTGACCCAGTGCCCAGGCGGATTTCATGGCAGTTATGACCTGCAATACCTGACATGGATTTGGGCTGCCTCTTGAGACCGGCTGTGTCCTGTCCTTCCTCCTTCCTCCACGCTAGGCAGCCAGATCCTGGCTGAAGCAATCAGCTACAGTGTCCTCGAGTCTTTTGTTCTGGAACCTGCTCACCCTTCACAGGCATTAAAGGCATGGGTTGATATCTGCAACGAAAAAGTATATTTTCTGACTTACTGTCTGCTTGGGAGGAAGAACAGCTGTTGACTACCTGAAATTTGGCAATATCTGTAATTTCTTTGCAAATGCTCCTAAAACTAGGATAAATAATTACTGGATAAGTGTTAAAGAATCAACAGTATTTATCCCATTTCTGCTGCATCATTGGGACAAAATGATTGAGCAATACTTCTGGACATGAAATGCAGTGCTCTGATCAGTACAAGAAATGCAAAGGAAACATAGCAGCTCCTGGAACAACCCTGAGCTGTTCAGCTGTGCAAAGCCAGCATTCACAGACCAACCTGCAAAAGCAGCAGACCATTAGGGCCACCTGTACCATGGTGTGACAGCCTCTGTCCCAGGCCGCAGGCTCAGTCATTAGGACCCACTGTGCCAGGAAAAGCCTCCCCTTAATCACAGGTGCTATCCTCTGAGCAATTTGTACAAAATTTTTTATCACAGTCATTGTTAAATGCATGTAGCTCTTCAAAACAGTTTTTCATTTAAATGCCACTTGAATCGGTGTATTAATTCATATCATGGAAGGTGTATTTATACTGCAGAAAGCATTTAGCATCTCTATACATATGTTACTAAATGACGGTAATAACTATGCATAAGAAATTCTGGCATAGATAATGAGATGCTGAGCAAAACCAAGTTTTATTTGTTCAAATGCAATAACACACTTACTTAGCAGAGGTAAGGAAGAAGCGTATTTCAGAGCGCTGAACATAACTGATCCAGAACAGTTCCTGCAGCATGTCCGGAGGTTATAAAAAGCACATTTCAGGGACAGGAAAATGTAAGACACAGCTTAGCTCCAGAAGCCTTTAGCTGAACCTCTCCCACAACACTAGTCTTCCTGCCTTCTCTGAATCATCCTCCATGGTCCCCCAAACGGTCAGCAGAGTCTGGGTAGGCACAGGTGTTTCAGTGCCACAGAGGGCACGATGCCTCAGCCCTTGCTCAGTTCCTCTGCCAGACCCACTGCACAGCCGCAGCACAAGCAGGGCTTGTACTGGACCGCCTGCGGCTCAGTCACCACGCACAGGATATCTGTACCTTTGGAAGAGGGAAAGATGAAATCCTGTGGCAACACACACCTCTCTCAAGTCAGCATCACTCCTCTCCCCCTCTCTCATCCAGGCACAAAACCATTTAGTGAAGAGGGAAGTCAGAGGACTGTAACCCACGACCTGTTCCCAAACTCTCTGAGGAGAAGGGGCAGCTGGCAGGGTGCTGGGGCTACACATGCTGTCCCCTCTAGTTTGCCCATGGGCCGCAGGCTGAATACCCCAACATGAATTAAGGAGATCCAAAGCAACAGCATGCTGGGTTTTGCTTGTAAAATCCGCTCAGCTCCTGAGCTGTTCCCTGTTTGTGTTGGGCTGGGCTGAAAAGATGCAGAGGCAGCCTTGTATCAACTGTGGTCTTGGAGCTACCTCGCTGAAAGAGTGGATAAATTAATTAGCTGACTGCTCTGCATTACAGTGCCTGGAGCCATTACCTGGTAGCAGCACCACTGAGGACGTGGGGATGCCTGGGTCTCCATGGCAGACCCTGACAGTGACAGGCATGGGTCATCCTCTATGTCATGCCCCCAGTGCTTGCAGGGCCAAATTTCTCTGAGCGTTTCTTAAGTACAGCTACTTCAGCAATCTTTCTAGTGCATCTAGTAACTCTCACTAGGGTATTGTGAGATGTACTTTTTTAATATTTGTAATGCACTACTGAGAGCTCTTAAAAAGTTATTTTGCGAGTGCAGTGTCTTTTTGTTAGGATTATCCTATTATTTTGCAATGTTTCCTAATGCACTATTTTCTCTCTGCCAAGTCATGCTGCCTTTTTTTTTTAAAAAAAAAAAAACCCAACCTTCTTAAAATGTTTCTCCCAACCACTCCCATTTTACACATTCTTTTAAACCCTACATTTATAGAACACAGGCTTTTAAATGGTTTCAATATGTCATGGATTCCTATATTCATGTATTACTTGACTAGCTTCCAGAACCCAGTTCTTACAAAAATAAAAGTACGAAAATGCTCAAGGAAATTCAAATCACTCACCATTAGGGAGAC